GGGCCGAGCTATTCCGACTGAAACCTGCCAAATCGCCTGGCCCAGATAGAATTCCCGCCCTAGCACTTCGTGAACTTGCTAATGAACTGTGCAAACCCTTATCCGCAATATTTCAAAAGTAATTTGAAGACGGCAAGCTACCGGAAGAATGGAAGTGCGCTCTGATTTCTCCGATCCATAAAGGAGGCTCAAGACTTGACTGCGGTAATTATCGTCCTGTCAGTCTTACTTGCATCGCGTGTAAGATAATGGAACGCATTATCAAAAGACACTTGATGAAATACCTGGAACAGAACAAAATATTGTGCGCTGCCCAGCACGGCTTTCGTCCAGGGCGCTCCGGCTTAACGAGTGTTCTTTACTCGCACGAGAAATGGACACAAGCTACCGATAAGGGTTTTCCAGTAGATGTCATATTTTTTGACTTCAAGAAGGCCTTTGACAGTGTCCCACACAGGCTTCTTTTACAAAAGATCTGGGATGTAGGAATTCAAGGAGGAATGTTTAAGTGGATCAGGAGTTTTCTGTCCTCCAGACTATAAAGAGTCGTCGTTAGTAATTCTACCTCGGAATGGTAAAGGTGGAAAGTGGTGTCCCACAGGGTTCCGTCTTAGGCCCAGTACTCTTCCTGATTTATGTTAATGACTGCATCAGCGAAGTGAATTGCGAGGCTCTCATGTTCGCGGATGACATTAAAATATGGAGTGAAGTCAAGTGTGATGATGACGCAGAGAAGTTGCAGTCGAACATCAACAAACTGTGTGCATGGTCGAACTGATGGCTTTTGAAGTTTAACGTGTCCAAATGCGTGGTTTTGCACCTGAACACCGGCCACAATGCCTCTCCCAAACACCAGTACTATATTGACGGGACGAGGTTAGAAACTGTGGAAAGACATAGAGATCTGGGTGTATGGACGACCACAAATCTATCGCCATCAGAACACTGTAGAAAGATGGTCCAGAAGGCAACTAGTACTCTACACTGGATCAGACGTGCATTTAAAATATTTCCTCCCGAACTCTTCGAAAGACTCTTTGGTGTCTTTGTAAGACCTCATCTAGAGTATGGAATGCCAGCAGCTTCACCATGGATGAGGAAAGATATCAACTTACTCGAACAGGTGCAAAGCAGAGCGACAAAGATGGTCGACGGTCTAAAGCCTTTGTCTTATCAGGAGAGACTGAATTTGCTTGGCCTATTCCCTCTCTCGTATAGACAAATAAACTGCAGTGCACTCTGGACGTTCCGGATTGTTCGCGGCCAGGGTTGCTCATTAAGAGCAGAGGACTTCTTTGAATTCGCCCGTACAAACCAACTACGCGGCCATGCATACAAAGTCGGGAATGAGCGCACGCATTTAGACCAACGAAAATTTTCATTCAGCCAGCGGGTTGTCAGACCGTGGAACTCGCTTCCAAGCGAGATGGTGACGGCTGACACCGTACGTGTGTTTAAAAGAGAACTTGCTCGTCTAGTTTTGGACAGAAATCGACTTGTTCAGCATGACTATGCACAGCCAGTTTTGTAAAATGTGTCATATACAATCTTCCGCACTAATTTACAGTGACCCCATGCATAAGCTTATGATTACGATTGAACTGTGAACCAATCACATTTTAAATACCTGCAATTTTATTTTATTTTTGAGTATGAATCTGCGAAAGCACTGTACATAAATAGGGTCATCAAGGGCTCTGCCTGTAACCCTTCAATATACATATACATATGCAGTCTTCATGATTTTCATATCTTTGCAGGTCATTGAAAAACAATTGGACTTCGGAGAAGTGCAGTAAACAGTAGTTAGGGTGAAAAACACCTAAGTTATACTGACAGACACCTGTCTCAACAATACCCATCGACTGAGACCTATGGAAGCGTCAAGGTGACATTCGCAACCTGTTAGACTCCGATTAGCCAACACACTGAGTGGGACATTTGACGTGCAGCTGCGTATGATCGGTCGACGAACTGGGTCTGATTTCCGACGCTTTAATCGTCTTCGGTGATAAGTGCCGGAGATATTGGAAAAAAAAAAGTTAATCATAAAGATCGCTTTCCATTATGTTTTTTGAAAAGTTCAAATTTCGGACGTTCTCGCATTGCAGATCCTTCTTCACTCTTAGCCTCATCTTTTGTGTTTCTTTCTTCTTGGTGAGTTCTGCATTCTTTTTCGGAATTATTTCTGTGGCATCATACTAACTTAAATGTTATACTGCGAGCTTCATACTTGAACATGGGGTAAGTGCTATGTGCCGCTATGGCCATGTCACTTTAATTTGATATAGTAATTTTTATCACCAGCTTTATGAGAAGTCAGGAAATGATCACTGGCATTGTTTCCATGAAAAGTGAGTGGAAGTGGGATTTGGCCAGTTCGATAGCATAGGACGACAGGTCAGATAAGTTGCTGGACTACATGGACGGCTCAAACTGCTGGCATCCCACATTAGACGGGTACATTTTCGACTAAGTGTGGTTCTGACAAAAGGCGGCAGGGATGAATAGGAAAATCTCTCGACTCAGTTCCAGGAAACATTCGCCGTCAGGGCGACAACATCCTTTGTATCTATAGAACAGAATAACTTAAATCAACTGCTGTTTCGCTTTTGGATAAAAGGGATGTCGGACATGAAGGTCTAAGCACAGAGCTCACAACAAGAGTAGGCAACTAAAAACTGCATGCCGTCTGCACTTACACCACAGCTCAAGAGGAGCATTTTTTCAACGTATTTTATCGAGGGAAATAAGTATGATGGTTTGAGTACCATATGAGCCACAGGAAAAGGCAGAAAGTTAGATGAAAACGGTGCATTCAGTTTAAAATTGAAAGAGTCACAGATGAACAAGTCCGTCAAGAGAAATGAAGCAGATAGTAAGTTATTCCAAAGACCATCTTCACAATTTGACCACATCGTTAGGCCCAATTTTAAAACTCGGCGCATCGGTCGGATTCATACTCACGATAGAAAGGCAAGGCTCGAGTGGAGCCAATGCTCTAACCACATGAAGTACGAGGCCCCACGGGAAGCAGGGAATGTAATCATAATTGGGTCAAAATACCCGCCTAGTCTACTGCAACATATGGAATCAATCAATTTTAAAAGAGTGAGTCCCACTACTTAAATGGGGATTTCCAAGAACTCAATCTAAGACCCCCAAATGACTTCAGTCTAACTTAACAAGTTGATTTTCTGGCACATTTAAGTGATTCCCTTTATCCAAATTTAATTAAAGTCATGGTTCTCTGTAGCGCATTGTAGCTCTGGTGGTTCGAGCGTTGGCGATAATCGAGCTCTACCCTTGCTGCCGTGGGTTTGATTCCCATTGCGAGTTTTTCACAACTGTGTGAAATGAGCTTCTGAAGTTTGCTGAAAGAAAACTCATTTGATCAGTGTTAAGCTTTTAAAAGAATCGATCACATAGTCAGTGTGCGGATACAGCAAGGATTACGACTGCGTTCCGCAGTTAGTCGCAGTTCATCAGGACAACCATGCTGAAAACAGTTTTGTCGCCTTCAAATAGTCACTGATACTATCGAAGTCCCTTTGGCTCATTCTTAGTTAGCAAAAGCTGCCAGTTGTACTGATTACAATTCTAACATCGCCTTTGCCATCCAGTGCCGGCCAACTGCTGACTTACTGCTATAGGATCCCATAGATTTTTCGGCAAAAGTTGCGATCACTTTCTCGATTCACTGCCTTGGTTTGTTGACGGGTAATCGGTAATTATTGCCGCAGATCCTCTATCATTCTAGTGGAATTATATTTCCTCGAATATGGTTTATCCTAGAAGGCCTTCACAACTTCATAAGCATGTTAAATTGCATCGATACATGATGACTCAAGTAATGAGTGATAAGGTTTCACGTATATCTAGAAAAGCAGCCAAATATCCTAAGGGTCCATGCTTGGGGAATTTACGATTTCCGAGTACTAAGGGAAGAACCTGCCTCCATCCGGCTCGCAAAACAAACGGCAAAGACTGCGTAGTCCCCGTCGGTTTGGATTTAGGGCATCAGAATAAACTGTCAGCGTAACCCTGCAAATAATCTTATTGTGTGGGGAAATTTCATGTTCATTATCGTGGCCTTGTCCTTCTCCAGACCTTCCACATCCTTGTGACCGATCGTCTATTTCTATTGAGCGTTTCGCATTAAAAGTCTGGGTATTCTGGACTCTCCCCACACCTTTTCTTAAAATTATTTCTTTATTAGACGTTTGAAGTTTGCGTTTAATTTCAAAAGACCAAACAGATGTTTAGAAAGCTTGAACATATATTACTACCGAAGTGGCCTAAATTCAGACCACCGACTCTCCTAAAAAGTTATCCGTTTAGGCAGTCTAATAAGTTAATACAACTGAAATCTCCTTGCGATTTTTCAAAGTATATTTGCTTTAAAAGTCCAATAAACTTCTAGCAATAACGCCATCACTAACATGATAGCCATAAGATCTAGCTGTAAGCGAGAACGTAGTGTTCTCTAATTTAAAATCTTATGAAACCTTACACATCCGTTCCAGGGACTTTGCCACCCTACCTGTTATTGCATCGCGGTGTATTTTCAGAGTTTGTACTCGGGTCCCTTATACTGTTTATCCAAATTTTTGTCGTCACAGGTATTGTTTCCAGCAGGCCGTTTGTGTTTTAGATAACAATGAACTTTTGAATCAGACTACGATCACAATTCTATGAAGGAGGATCAAATTCGGGCTTTTTGGATGATTGACCCAGATGATTATATCTCGATTTGCAGATATCCCTTCTGCTCTAAAGCAGACGGAGATTACATTTAAAGGCGTACCCGTTGATTAACTTAAATACACTATTTATATGGATTATATGAAAAAAATTTTAAGCGAATAAAGTGTCTTGGGTTTCTGGATAAATCTTGTGCATTGCTTTCCGTACGCGTTCGAACGATTTGTTTAACTCCTTCAGTTACTTGCACTTGGCCGGTCGGTTTCATTTTCGAAGTCATTCGCTCGTCATCAGCCATGGTAAGCGTTGTCCCGCTCCTTATTCTACTTCATTTGGATATGTCTAGAGCCTATACATAGTTTTATATTGTCACTTATTTGCTTCAGTCGGTTTTAAAATAGTGTCGAAATGTCCACACTACAAGTGCTGACCAACTTAGTGACCTTATTGATACGTGCCATGTTTCCATTGTACCAACCTCTGTCTGGCCCTACTATCAGATCAAAGTTGCGGGTTTGTGTGCGGCCAGTGGGCACAGCCTGCCCACGATTCTCAGCAGTTCTACCACATCGTCACTGACGCCAGTCACGCCAAGGGACTACTGGGCGAATTGTGCCTCTAGAGGCCTCTAACGGTGTAGTCACCCAGGTAAAGAGCTATCTGCGGACTAACTGTATGACCTAGTCCTGAGCGACTAAGATGTTGTTTTGGATGGAAGACAACTAACTTAATTGACGGTATTGCACGTGATTCATTTTTCTTGCATTGTCAAAAGCAGTTTGAACGTGGGGTAGCTACACGACTTCCACAGATGAGTATTTTAAGTGGTTACCAAGTCATAGAACAGGTTATCTAAAGGGATCGCATACATAAAATGCGGATTATTCTGGATGCCTCTTGTTTTTTTTATAGTTGGGGTTATGTTGCCCACTGTAATGTGTCAGCATAGTTAAGAAATTTTCACTCCACAATTCGGTAACCCCGTTCGTTCACCTTAACAAGTTTCTCATTTACACTGGGTTGTCCGTTCGCCTTTGGTTCTGATTGCCTTCTGGGTGAAAAGTAGCCCTACTAAAACACCAATTAACAGTGACATCCTCTATCGTCAGTTATGATCCTTGGAATTGTTTTGCCCTTAAAAAGGAGTTCAAGGCCTGCTCGTCCTTTGAGCTCGTTAAGGGCGCCACACAATGCTTGTTCCACTTGTTGCGGAAAAATTGTTATTTAATCTCAAATTAACGTATTCGTGCATGCTCTCCCTAAGAGCTCCACTAAAAATCCCTTCTTCACGTACGTTTCCGTGCAGTGCGGTGCACATTCACGATTGAACTCTATTCGTTGTTGATCTTGATCATAACATTAACGGCAGGCGTTAACTCGTCCATTGATTTATCGTTCAGTCATACACTTAGGGTGCCAATTGTACTGGCATTTTTTTGCTTCTTACCCGCTCAGTGCTCTAGTCTGCGTGCTAACATCGCAACACTTGTCTCTCATGTGTCCAGTTCCGCTTAGGTTTGAAATTTAGTAATTGGTGTCGTTTATGCATACTTTAATGTGCTTTCTGCAATTTCGAACTTTTGACCATGCGTGGCAGCAAGACCACCGTTTGGACACTAAATACTTTAGAGTTCAGAAACTTTAGCTACTACGTTGGCTTTCCCATCTAGGTGTTTGGCATTTTAATGCAGAAGTTCTGTTTACGTGGTAAACGGGTGTCTTGTCCTAGTAAGCCGACAATGGTATTGGCAGTTACTATGTGCTTTTTATTGTTCTGAGCGTTATGTGACCATGTCTGGCCTAATTGTCCTCGAGGATCTCACAGATAGCACTTCTCCGTGCGCAACAACCAACGGCAGCGAACTTGGAAAGCATGACCCACTCTTTTTGCTTGACAGCAAAATACCGAGGGCCCAAGAGTCGCCTTTGTGTCTTGATAGGCCGCCATACCAGATTTCCAATTCGTCTTCATAGACTCCAGTTAGCATCGTTATAATAAGGACATCAACACTGAACTCTTGCAAGGGCGACTAGAAACGTTCTCGTTTTTCTTGCGTGGTTTGAGATATCCACTCAATGTTGTTACTTCAAGCGAGGATTGTTTTATTCGAAACGAGGTCGGTGTACCTCAATCGGGAAAATGTGCTCTCAGACAACTATGCCTGTAGACCCTCAGTTTCTGTTCATTTTCCACACTCAGCCCGTCATTCACAATTGCGGGGTTGTGGTGGCAGTATTTGTCATAGCTGATTCCGCCGATTCCATGTTGCGTAGTCCGTATCTCGTATGATCACTCGTTGCAGTCGATCTCAAACTCCTAATTGAAGCTTAACTAATTCCCAATCCAAACTGAAAGACCACAAGCCAGCCCCTACGACCTCAACCCTCGTTTCTATTTGGCCACATCGACGTCATTGCCAGCTAGAGTCGGCTACGGGCAAAATGTCGCCCCGGACGATATTGTCTACAGGTTGATGCGACGTGTGGCCAATCTTTCCCAGTATGCTTATGAGGATGACGTAATTGACGGGCTGAGTTCCTGACGGACTATACAGTCGGTGGTTAGAAACGCGATTTAAAAGCCAAATTCAATGAATAGAGTGCAATTACAGTCGACCAAATACACCCATTCAAGTTAGACTTTCTGGACTCATGGACCATGCACTACACAAAAAACGTCGTTCGAAGGAAACCCGCGTACTTACAGCTTTGTCTCCAAACTGACTTTACATTGGTACCGGAGGTTTCGATGCAGACGCACAAGGGCCCTGCTCACCTGACTGATCCGGTGTTTGGTTTCCTACTTAGCTTTTCCGTCTGCCAAACGGTTCTACCCAGAGTAACCACTGTCTGCTCACCCAGAGATCTCGTAGTTTAATATGGCCGGGACTGTTTTCAGATATGAAAGCCCGGGGCGACCATCGTTGCTTTGGAGGGGCTGGTTTCTAAACTCAATTCGACTGCCTTTGCGCCTACGGGAGAAATAGTACGTTGTACTTCCACAAAAGACCGTGCCAGCATCATGTCACCGGCGCACTCCAGATTCATGATTTACGAACCTTGACATGCCTCAACCCCGGAATAGTGTACCAACGGCTGCTGATGAATCCAGCTTATCACGTAGTTGAGCAGAGTTGGCAGGAAAATAGCCTCGACGCCGCAGCAGAAACCAGGGTTAATTCCTTCTTTGATGGCATGCCATCATGCAGCGTGATAGACAACAGGAAACTTCGATAGACAATTAAATTTGGCGACAAAATCCGCGAAACAGACAAGTGTGCTGTTAGCAGCGGTGTTCTGAGGTTTGGCAGGTTGAACAGCGCTCACCAGTCCAGGAAGACAAACAGGACCGACTCCCGATGCAGATTGTGGTTTCAGCTAGGATGCTGCGGTGGGATCATCTATGTCTTCGATGGCTTGCGAAGATTATGAATGCTGTTCGTGTTCACAAACTGACGAGCCGAAAATTCCACTAAAACTGCATACGCACCATTGGCAATTTCAAAAAGGTGGTCCACTTCCTTTTTGTTTTTTAAAAATATAAAGCATAGTGCGAGCGCACATCCGGTAGCGTTTTAGAGAATGTATTCCTCTTTCATCCTCGAGATTTGAATTCTTCATTTTCCCCAGGTTCGAATTTTTCTCAAAACATCGCCATTGTGGAAGGAATCATAGACTGCTCGTTTCTGTTCAAAAATTTCTTTCATTTTGTTTTCTCCCCACCTTCCTGTTGCAGGCATCTGTTTGTCAAGAAGATTTGCTCAAAGGCTTTCCCCTGCACTACTGTTGCCTTATGGGCGACGTAAAGGGTCTCCAAAACTACCTATCCAACACCGACCTCAACCCGACCGGTCTTGACAACCTGAACTATTGGACACCTGCGCACTGGGCTGTTTCTTCCAATCACGTATGCCCCTCATACTGAAATTGACGTTTTTTTCTAGTTCGATTGCCTTTTGCAACTAGCACCCTACGGCGCTCTCGATACTCCCGCTGAACGTTCGCTTGTGACACCTCTACATCTGGCTGCCGAACAGGGTTTTGCTGACGCTGTCCGTTTACTTCTTGCAAACGCAGCTCGGGTTAACTTACAGGTATGACTTCAGATTGCCTCGTTTATGTCTCCATATAGGACTCATCGGGTGATACTCCTCTTCACAAAGCCGCTCGCAAAGGCCACATGGAATGTATCAAGGCGTTGCTAAACCATTCTGCCTGTACAGAGTAAGATTTACGAAGTGATGTTGTTCATTTCCTCTTCTAGTACGCGGAACTTTTATGGAAGAAGACCGTCAGAACTTTCGGCGATGGGAGGACACTTTCAAATTGCTTCCGCCCTCAACGAAGTCACGAGGCTTCAGAGGCTTGAACATGTTGCCAGCGCTGTCTGTCGTGTTCCACTTTCACCCCTAGGTACCCTAAATCCCGGATTCCGCAATGGATATGTATGTAAGCGTTCAAGAGGTTGTGTTGCAATGGACTCTCTAGACGACGATTCAGATAAGCGCCTGCGACTATCCGGTAAGTTGTTGGGACATTTCTTATTGGTAGGACGTCAGTTGGTTAGTTTAGATCAGTAAAAGACGTACGATTTCCCAGTTAAGTTAGTTAACCCCACCACTCAATCTGATGCGGCCTTAGAGCTTGTGCATTTGTGCAGTGCTAAAGGGATAGTTTGGGACGAACAGCCCGAGCAGATAAATCGATCATTCTTGCGTTTACTAGCTCCGTTAGCCCTGTCGTCCTACCGCGCACGCCTTAGAGCGTATGCCTCGAGTGAGAATAACACATGTACCCTTCGCCGTCTACAAAATATCGTGCTGTAAATTCGTTTACGTTGTCTAAGGCAGACAGCATCTACATTGTTTTACCGGGGGTTCAGAGGCGACATCGTCGACTTGACCTACCAAACTCTCCTTGCGGACTATGTGTAGATGATGCTGGCCAGAAATAAGTTTCCGCCGCGTACACAACGTGTTTAGTATTCACGGATTTAGTTTGCCAACCAGGGATCTCTAATCAGTATACGTCCATGAACGCGATAATCCGTGTTATGCAGCCGACAATGAGGACTGCCAGGTACGTCTCGCCTTCGAGTCTACGTATCTGCATGGCCATACGACGGCTGGACTGATCGCCGGGGATAACCGTTTTTCTTAGGGCGACCTAATCTCATGTACCGGTAGGTGACCATTGAACTATCACTGCTGCAAGCAGACTCGCCGACTGAGGCGAGTTTTTCCAGTCTGCCATATGAACTCGGATGCATCACAGACATTCAGACTGGAATATTTGGTAAATAAGCATCTGCCCTTGCCAGCTGACCTGGTAATGGGTCGTAGAAATCGTCGGTTGCGATTTTGCCTCGAGTGGGTCTTCCGAGCGCTTACTTTTTTCTTGTAACGTCGCTGGACGAGGCTAGTCGGTTTCTTGAGCGCGCCACTGGAGACTACCTTTAACGCCTATTCTTCGAGCAAACACTCCAACAGGCAGCTTTTTCGTACAGAAACCCATCGATTTTCTGACTTCTAAAGACAGCCAGGCGCACTTAGACCATGGCTAGTCGTATCCGTTGGCATTGATCGTGTCAGCATCTCCTCACGTCTTGCACTTGTAGATCCAACCGAGGAATATCGAATTCACAAGGATTTCATCGATCTGACCCCAGCACTTCCCGTCAAGATACCAATTAGTGTTTTAGACTTGACGGGATGAGGTATTGGTCACGAAGGTAGCTTCGGTCTGCGAATTCTACTTGTTCATACATTTGCAGCTTCCATATGAGCCCTTGCAGTCGATGATGTACTTTTTGGGGACATCGACAGACCTGGTTTAGTCGGCAACAACCGACAGAACACGAGGACACCGTTCAACACCGATTTCTTGGTAGACTAGCGCAGTCCTGAGAGCGTTGCTCGATGATCAACTGACTCAAGTTCGAACCTTGGACGCGCTGCCTAGGATTCGGAAATTTAACTGGCAGGTGACGGCAGATAAGCCAGAAATGGCTATTCCAGTGCCCCTTTCTTTGTCGACAAGACCTCCCGATACGAGAACATACCCTCTTATCCTCGTCAGGTGGCGTAAGCGACTCGAAACTGGCATTAGAGTCACCCAAACGTCCTTTGCTCTTTGATGAGCTTCCTCTCCAAGAAGACCTTACCTGCCTAAGGAGAAGGCCTTCCAAAATATTTTCAAGGCCATTGTAGCAGGCAGAGGTAGCTTTTACCGGTTTTAGGTATATCGCATAAAATCTGAGTTGCGAATTGAACTTTATTAAAGTTAACCATGTGCATCCTCCGACATCGGTTGCCCGATTATGGGAACGATTGCGTCAGCGGCCATAAAACTTGTTCGATTTTCGCCTGCACCACTACATCTGGATCGCAGCATTCAGCTGCGGCAGACGCCCCAACATAATTGAAAGTACTGTAGTAATTCGCTGGTTCCCTTGCTTTAAATGCATTCAATAGCAAATCGTCGCTTACTACCTGAACCGAGGTTATCCGCGTTTGTGCTTATGAGAGACGCAGGCAGATTTGAGGGCAGATTTGCTGTCACTGCACAAATTCGCACGTTCTAAGTTCCCAGATCTGCACTTGTGCGCACAGCCCAGAATACACATGTACCTGTCCTCTAGTGTGTATCCTGCCAAATTTCCGACTCACTCTCTCGTGAACTGCAAAAGTCGCAGTGGAAAATTGTTCATCTGTCCGTAAGATCGTATGCCTGCCTGTACAGGTAGCTTAGTTCTACCTGTGGCCATCGATTTGTCGCCTTGTAGCCGTCCAAGTCGCCAATTTACCAGTGCTAGCGTAGGTAAGACTAAGTCGAGCAGTTCATGTCGCATGCCTTTCTCTCTCTAACATTAAAAATTTAACGTTAACTTTGAATGCAGCGTTTGCAGCCCCTTCCCCTGTCCTCGCATCCTCGTCAGGACTCGCTCAAAGAGGACTACAAGTTGCACTTTGCCCTTCATGGGCTCCGGAAATCAGATCCCGTTTGCCTTAAATGGGGGATTGGTGGATAATCAACCGTTTGGAGCCTAGCCACATGCTGGCTAACAAAGGAGGAAGAGGTGGAGGTGCATTTTAAGACATTCGTTTTTTAGTTTTGGTATGTTGAAAAAAGTGAATTGTCCCAGCGTCACTGGAGAGTACTCTCCACTCAGGGGACCATGAGTCCTATTCTACAGTTAGAGGAGATTTTGTGCCCTGATCATGGGCGTTAGTATTGCCATCCGGCTACACCCGTCACATTGACCACAATTCGTCTGGAGGTAGCAGTTGCAGTTCGCAAGTCACTGTCGGGATTCCTTGCACACATGTACTTCATCCGGGTTCCCGAACGCAGTTCTAAGCAACTTACAAGCTTGAAAAATGTACGTGAACTCATCACGGACTTGTTTAATTGCAGAAATGACAATCTAATCATATAGAAACGGCCATGCAGTTGTTTTTGAGATTGTGTGCTGTAGCTATATAGCGCCCTCTGCACCGTTTTTGTTCGTAGGTCGACTTTGTACTGGTGATCTGTAAGTCATTCGTCCTAGATCCGATGACCTATGGATCACATCTACTTTTCTATGCCAGCCCTACGAGTTCAGTACGACTGCGAGCCATCGGTTTGAGGGGGCAAGGGCGGCGGTGACGGCGACGGCAATTTGCACTGAGGTTCTTTAAACCGAGAGCTCCGATGCGCCGTTCAGCGACCCAAGACGCTGCATACATGGCACACCTGAGGCTTATCAGGGAACTGCCACGTCTCTGCTTCGAACTTCCACAGAGATATTTTGAACGGTGGATTCTGTCAGTCTACGCCTCAGTGAGGATCCGGCTCCCTTGAGACCTTAACTGACGTTGCGTGTGCCCTCCGTGCATGTAACATCCCTCCCTCCGCGGGTTACAATCGCATTTCCTATTATGTAACTTCTTGTTCTCGTACAAGCCCCGGTCTTCGAACAGTAGCAAGTATCTGTTTCCTCCGTGAGAATTCCGATCAGACTGACCTAAGTGTGTCGGACGTGTCCTGACCTGCGTTGTACCCTGCACAGTCCACTTTGTGGTTGCGGGGTTGTGTGCGATGAGTCACCTCGATATTGCCGTGCTGAACCTCTGTTCACATAGGTACGCAAGGCGAAGCGCTCCGTTCGCTTGCCTTCAAGTAATTCACTAGGTATTAGTGTGTGTGACGATTATTTTACTTAATTTCAATTTCCGCCCCCGACAACAAAGGTGGTTCCGGCCTCGTAATTTTAGACGCGCGAACCTTTTGTTGTCTAATTTCTCTATCCCTTCCGCGTCCCTCTCTGCCTGCCTCTCTTGTTGTTTCACTCTTAGTCCCATCTCTCTCACCCCTTGCTAATGTGCGTCGCAACCCATGCGCACGCACAGACAGAGGACATGCTGCAGCACTAGACGAGGGAATATGGCGTTGCACACATTCCTGCCCCCCTGAAACTCTGAGGCAGTCACGCTCTAGAGCCCTGCGCTCCTCCATCGCTGCGCATAGACTTCCACCAACCCATGCGCTGAGGCATACTATCGACCCCGGTAGACGAGATACAACACCCAGACGGGTTCCGCGTCATACAGACACATGCAGGCGCGCGTACAGCACGCGAACGGAACGCTATGGCCTGGCAAACGACGCGCGCGCCAGAGCGACGTTCGCGCACAGCAGCTATTCTTACTGCATTTCTCACAGGCAGACAGCAACAACGCGCTCGATTTGTTAACGGGCTTTGGATAGTGAGAAAACGCTGCCGCCACCACCGTCTTCCTGCCCCCTTCTCACCGGTCGGTTGGCGTTGGTAAGATCGTGGTAAAAACACGAAACGCGTACATTCTAATCTGCTTAAAAAGTATCGTACTAATCGCACGTACACGTGCATACACAGTAGCTGTGCGCCAGTTGCCTAGGCATGGTGCTGTAGCCAACCCCTCCTCTCCCCTTCCCCTCCTCCCCCTCCACACTCTCATCCCACCTTTTCTGCGGCGCCTGCGTGCAGTGCCTGGGAGGTAGCTCAAGTGTGTGCCGCTCTAGGACCTCCACTTGCCAGTAGTATTCTGGGATCAGGACCAAATTTAATATATCAAAACTGGGCTACTTGGCCCCAGTCCTTCCAGATTATGCCGACTCCCTCTAAACTGAAACTCATTGATTGGCTATGATCGGACCTCTAGGTTTTGAAGCTTACTCTGACGGACGAGAGTTGAACACAACTCAGCGTTTTGCCGGCTTGCGTGCAATCCGACATGTTTCCCTTTGTCCCATCATTGCAGGAAATAACTAGCGACAATTCCTGCTTAGGTCAAATGTCGCCGGACGCTCCGAGTGAGTCGCATTAGTTTGTGCACTGGTTGGCTTTCGACCAAGCCTCGGAATCTTAGACATTTTTACGAGTCTACCAAAAACGACGCTAGACGACGGCGCCTGTTGGTTGAAGTCAAGAGAACACTGCACTACGTCATTTTTTGTATCTCAATAATATCTGACTTTGGAAAACGGAATCCAGCATTCATTCTCTTGGTCTCGAGAATTGTTTGAAAAGGAACCGACGTAACACGTTCTTCGTTGATTCCACTCCAGATTCTTTAATTAATAAGATAGGGCAAAGCTTATTCGTGGAACCCTGCTTGACCTGCCTTCGTCAATTGTTCGGATTCGGTCATAACTTACAGAAGTCGTCATGTAAATGTCTATGTTATGACCTTGTTGGCTAGCAAAACCAACCAAGACACTTGGTGTACAGCCACGTTGGAGTCCTTGTGGACCATTCTAAACCACCGAGGTTCGCAAGTTTTGCAGCACTTAAGTACGCCAAATAGGACGGCCGTCGCATCCCATGTCGGACCTTCGTAGTTTACACTCATTGCCTAGTTTTCACTGACCTTGAGAAAAATGGCTTGATCGGGTGCTTTTGGAATTCCTAACCAAGCCGGTGAAATTCCACTCGCTAAACTGTTCTTTACTCTGCCCGCCCTAACTGCAGATGATGTCACGTCAAGCAGAATCCCATGTCCTCAAGCGTTTCTACTGGGTCAAGGTTTGACGTCCGACCACAATCGCTTTCCACACGTGACCTCCTCGCTGATCATTTCGGCCAAACCGCCAACCTGACGGTAATCTTAAATCGAACCACCACGAGAAACCAGCACTTGCGTGCGACAGCGGTGTTAAACAGATGCGGATATTGTCGGCCATTGTCTGCCCGTTAAGGAGAACATCGAGCCTCATTTTTCATATGCGCGTTTGTCTCGTTTAGAGACTAATTAGACTGCACGTGGTCGGCACTGTTACTGACGCTGAAAATGAGCTGCTTACCTCCTCTGAGTCAGAAACCCATTGGCTAGCTATAACTGCACCTCTAGATTACGACGCCTGTTCTAAATGGTCGACGTTTGACCCAACCCAGCGTTTCGCTGGCCCCCTGCGCGTTTTGTTGTGTTCCCGTATTGTCCGTCTAGCTGGTATTTCTCTGATTCGATGAAATCTCCCTCAGGCTGCTTACTATGCGGACTGCACAGTAATCACCCATTCCTCGCAGTCTGAGTGGACCGCATGCGATTTACCGGACATATTACTGGAACGGCGGTGCCACGCTTAGTCTGCTGGCTCGTATTCAGCGTAATGTAGAAGGAGGGGGTCTTTGCTATTTTGGACCGATACGTAGCTGTCCGTTCGTGTGCCATTTCCAGCCAGTCACTTCCGCAGGCGCCGTTCCCTCCCGCCTCCCCTTCCTCACATGCCTTGAGTTCCGGGTGTTCCCTTCTCCTTTCTTGAACCACTTCAAATCCGCATTGATTACTTTCCTTCCTTTCCCCTACATTCTGTATTGGTCGGGCTCAGGATCGTATATTTTCGAGTAACGGAGTGAAAAGATTGTTCCGCGATGTTGGTTAACTTTTCTTTTTATGGTATCTCATGGACTATGAACTGAGAGCTGAAGGCATTTCCAGCTTTTCTGGCTAATGTCCAGGTCTTTGCGTGTGATCATCACGACATGTCTCCGTCCGAACAGCTATGTCGACTACTCAGTAGATTTCCTCTGTCAATAATGCGTTCGTTCACTCGGTATCTCATGTTATGTCCCTGAAACAAAATAGCCTGGTGAAACAGGACCCGAGCCACACCTTGGCAAAGCCAACTTGACTTGTACTTACGCGTCCTTGCTACGGATACGATCATGCCTGATCTAGCCGGCCTCGATGATGTCCCGAGCTGTGCCTCCATGCGTGACGATCCGCGACGGCAGATCTGGATAGTTCAACCCACTCTCTTCGCCAACGACGGAGACCGAATACCGAAAGTCCAAGAACCATCTCCATGTGTTGACGAACTGTGTCGGGCCAGGTTTTGAGTTGGCTCCCCTTTCAACGCCGCTAATGGGATATCGGTGCTGGATCGAGAGTAGTAACACTAAGCTCCTGAGGTAGACGACGAAGAACATGCTCAAACCAGCTCAGTCGCCTTTCTTGGATGACTTGGGCTATCCTTGCGATGTCGCCGCAGCGAGTGCGGACTGTGTCATTTAAGACGAAGTTGATGTACTTCACTCGAAGAATGGTCTCAAGCAGTTGTGGTCAGATACCCCCAGTTTTCGCCAATCCTCCATGCGCACAGCTCAGGATTCACAACCATAGAGGAGGACAGACCGGACAGATGCACGGTACACTCCAATCTTAGTGGCAATGGAGATGTCGCGTCAAATCCATAGGCATTTTCTAAGGCTTGAGAAAAGTCCGCGGGCATCATCAAATCGGGAGACAACGTCGTCCTTTGCCTCGCCCCGAGGTATCTAAAACTGTCTACTTCTTGAAGTTGACAGCCATCAATCTCGAGAGATGCCCTCTCCTGGTCAGGGGTGCAGCTTGAGAATACCTTGGTATTCGCAGCGTTTATAGATAAACCGACCGATTTGGCGACCCCGTTCTCTCGTGACATCATAGACTACAGATCACCAAAACTCGACACATAACTTCGGGATTTGTGAGTGACGACGGCATGAAATGCACTCCTGCGTACTGAACTTGAAAACGCGATGGACAAGCGTACTTTCTGCTGACTTGGGATTCCCATAAAACAACTAAAGTAGACACGGCGTTGTGTCATCTCGGCTGCTGTCAAGAACTGAGGCCGTGAATGTGTTCCTGGCCAACCGAAGAAGCTGCTGCCTAGCTAATAATGTCTGCTGGACTTATTTCAATTGAGGCGTTTTGCAAAGTTGCGCCAACTTTGGCAATTACTGTGTGGTTTTATGTCCTTTGCGTTCGTCTTAGTACTGTGGGCTGACTGTTCCCTTAATGGCATTTAGGCACGGTAACATCTCAGCGTTGCTTCTGGGCGATTATTCGTCCCACATCCAAAGTACGGTAGAAACTTTGGGCAAGTAGATGTTTCCTACTCAGTAAAACACGAAGCTTTAACAAACGCCTTCTGGCCGCGTACACATTTGTGCCAGCATCCTTTGGAAGCAACACCCCCGTTGCCGATACCAGTTAATCCTGCCAGATGGGTGTACAGTTTGGGACGTTTTTAGTTTCGGTTCTGCCATTTGAATCACAACTAGCTAGTGGACAACGCCTGTGGGCTGCATTGCTGGCTGCCATTGGAATAGTAGGGCGCATGGTGTCATGATTTTTTAAACCTGGTCTAGATGCGATATATGTGGACTGACTAGTTCATCTGGACGGAGTCATAATCACTGTTTCCGGGAGAGCCTTTCTCCCTGTTCACAATAGACGTCCGGAGTCTTTGCAGTTTTGCCGTCTTTAAATCAAAAAAGCAGTCGACCAGAACTGCTCAACTGTGTATTCCTGCTTCGCCGAGTTCACTGCACACACGCAAAACGGCATGCCTCGGAGCTATGCTAAAACGATGCTTCTCTAGATATCGCATACATGGTCCAACTCACGCGTTCTAGCCCAATTGGATAGCTTCTCAGAGTTTTCGTTTCATCGAAAGATTATCTGGCCGATTCTGGGGGCGCCTTTTGCATATAGCCTGATGCCTTGACCGTACAACCTTCCTACTATGTCCCTACTTTGCCCTCGACCCTTCTTCGCCCCCTTCCCTCTCCTGGCTACAACACCATCTTGTTAATCACGTCACTGTTTTGCTCGATCAGGAGTAGCCGTTCGAAATTACTTATATTTTGCCAACCTCATAGCCAGCGCATTGACCCTTTCTTTGCCTTCTCCGTCCTATCCAGACCCAGTCATGCAAATCGCCGCAGACATGATCGGTCAAAAGAATCCCGGCTGGCGGGATGAGATCCAGTCCAGCCTCCTGGAACACGCTGCCGCTGTGCGAATGGCGGAGGCCTACGAGGAGTACTACTCACTTTGTCCCCCCAGAGATACTGCCCCACACCATTAGTAATCATTGCCTTGTCTTGCACACAAGCGTAACTCCCCGGTCTTATTCCCTCACCAAGCGCCCTCCTCCCCCGGTGTCCACACGTTCATCTTAACTAGCACCATCAGCACCACCATTTGCAACAGGGCTCATCAAAGCATGCCAAGCCTTCGGTCCACGTGTGGCGTTCCCCGTGTTTGCGCATGTGTGTACTTTGGAGTGCAGCTTGCATTTGACTAGCATTTTATTTGCACCACACGAACTCAGACGGTACCGTTGCTTTTACTGGACGGTTACCGTGCCATATTTTGTTTTGAGTACATACTTCACCACGCTCATTCCCCTGCCAGCGTCCCCCCAGTCAGTGTGTGCTCGCCCCCTTATTCCCCCCACGTCTTCTGTTTCCTTTTTGTATACCGTTGTATTTTTTTCGATCCTGTCGTGCTCATCAGCCCGCCACAACGGTGACGACCTTGTGTCTCTTGTTAATCCGCCTTTTAAAAACTAAGGCGTTTATTGTCTTTGTTTGGACTAATATTATTTTTCGACCGCTTACCCTGCCTTTGGCATTAAACAAGACCAAAAAGGCAGAAAAGGTCATTAAAAAGTAAAATATGTAAAGACTATGGAAATCACTTTTGACAATCATAACTACAGACAACGTCAGCATTGGGGTTTGGGTGGCTGGAGGTCTCATCTGCCAGTTTTCGGCGAAATGGTGGGTGACAACGAGCCGTTTGGAGTCACCCACAGCAGGGTGTCTGACTGGGGTCTTAAGCGGGCTTGTAATTCCGAAGTAACAGGGTCTGTTGTGAAATGCTCATCATAAAGTCCGCCAGTATGGTTACAGGACTGCGGTCGCATGCACTGAGGCAACTCGTAAGTTTACCGGGTAACGACGGCCTGCGGGCAGTGATTCTGAGGGCTGTAGGGATATGAGGGATCATGTGTTGCTGATCAACTAACCACAGCGGGTACGTAAGATCGGCCAGATTAGTGGAGGAGGAGCTTCAGCAGTGTTGGGCACAGAGAGAGCCGTAACCTGTGGGCCGGACGTCTCTACTGGACCGTTCCGAGGGCCAGGCATCCTTTGGGCGACTACCATTTATTGGTGGATACTTTTGTGGACTTCATGAGGCGGCGTTGGCAAGGCAAACAGCACTTAGACCATTTCGATGGGCGGGAGGTCCCATCTGGCACGGATGACTCCGTGTGGATAAGAAATCAGTGTCGGACTGCGGTCCTCGACACAGCTTCCATCTCAACTGGCCCCAGCTCGATTATACCGCGTAGTTGGTCGCTCTCGGCGAGAACTGTTCGTCATGGCCCCCTTTTTGTGTCCAAACTTCCAAAGTGGCCGACGATGGTCTTCAGGCCAAGTGGGGGACCTGCACTGTCTTTGTGAGGCCTGTCTGTCGGGGTCGCCAATTGTCGAAAGTGGAGTGGTCGACAAGACAAAGATTCCCAATCAAAAGTTAGGGAAGACGGAGTGAGTTGGACAACCTTTACTGTTTTGGAAGTGCGTACACAAAGTCTCAGTGGACAGTCGCCGGGAGCGCGCTCTCCAAGCCAGTTGTCTGTGTCCGCCTTCGAGGTGCTGAGACCCAGCACGCGTGTGCACATTTCGTCGTCTCCGCGTCCGCCAGCCAATCAGTGGGGGGACGGCGTTGATTGGCCTGGAGCACTCGCGAGGCTAGTGACAAGGAGTGTGAGGTGGACAGGAAGGCAGCGTGACAAAGGGGGAGCAAGGAGACGCGAACTGTGTTATGTGGGACGCTTAGGACGGGACTAAGTGCGCAATAAGTCAGCCCAACTCCAAATCGACTTCGGTTCATCCCTGCTAACGTATCCGAGTTAAATCTGGGAGGAGAGTTGGAGATGATGGTGCTGGGACCCTCCCCCATCTCATGTGGAATCCCACATCGGGTAAAACGGATGGACCGTCGTGCCTCTACGTCCTTTCAGGGTGTGATTTGGGGGATTTCTGAGTAAGCACTACTTATTGTTCCCAGTGATGCTTGCTTGACTACGTATTGGATGACGATTACAAGTGCCAAATAGCCAGCTCAACTTGTTACAATTGCGGACACCTTCCTTGATGTCATTTTCTGAGTGAATAGTCTCGGGGGGGGGGGTGTTAACTTATTGTGGTTGGGTGATGAACTGGCAACTGGACCTTTACCATGCCTCAATTGATTTGTCGCTGGTAATTCTACTTCCGTAAACCATCTACTTTGAGGACATTAGCACATTTTCTAGCTTTCAGATTTGAGAGGATTGTGCCTCAGACGACGTGTAGTGGCGCCGAGTTTGCGTCTAGGCTCCACATAGCAGCTCACTCCTATCGAACCCGTTTCCGGACGGGCTGTGTTAGCTCTAGTCCGCATGTCTCTAGCCCCCCCGTGATTTGCCTCTTTCAGGCCAACCGCTTTGGCCGGTGGCCAACTTGTGTTTCGTGTGACTCTGATCCGCCCTAGTCAGTGATTCGTCAACTCCTGCGATCCATTGCTTATGCACTCTGACTCGGGAGTGACTATCCTCCCAATCCGGTTTCTCGAACTTCTGACTGTTGGACATAGTGTTCTGGGCTTTCTAATCGACCTCATAGGCAGTTATGATCGAGCACCTGCCCAATCTAGCACCGTACGATTCCAGGTTGATAGCGACTTTGACCAGATCTGGACACAGACGGAGTAGAAGCCTTATCCTTTACTGCATAAAATCAAGACATCTCACAGATACTGCGGGAAGCGTATTCTGATGGGGCTTTTACTGTTGTCTTCGGCCGTTTCTGTTTAACTACGATGGTTTGACCTTGGATTTTCAAGGAGATCCGTTCACTGCAACCTTTTTTGTCTGCTTAGCAATACCCCAAGATGGAAGTAAGCCATTAGCTACATACTCTTCGAGTTTTTAATCACCCACTAAGTTAGCGGGCTTATTTAAAAACCAGGTCTGCGAAACAAAACACCCCGAGGCGGGGCTAGGCAGTGAGATGCAGGCGATGAGCTGGCTGTAAACAAATGGCAGGCCTGAAAGCCCACCGACAATCTCACTGGCTTCGACTTCAAGCTTGGCGCTGTGGTTTCAGTGAAAATTTCGCAACTGCTAAAGCAACAGAAAGACCGGAGTCATTACGAACTTCATGTGCAGACCTAAATAGAAAAAGAAGGAGTTGAACGCCAGTTGCGAGAATAGTGTATTCCGTGCGGAATTACTGGAGAAGGGGTTGAAGAGAGTTGGCAGCCGGACGGGGGCATGCCCCGGGCGGGAAGAGCGGCGTCCCGACAGTTCGACCGTCGTTTTCGACGATGTTCACCGTGTGCTCCACAGCAGGGGAAACAGGGACGGTAACTTGTGCGTGATTTACTTCCCAGTGATAGTAGACTTGCACAGCATCTAACGCACCCTGCCCTCCTTCCCCACCTGGACCCGGTGTCAAGACAGAGTCAAGAAAACCGGAGGCGAGGGAGGGCGCAGATGCATGGCACGGTCGAGCCCGCGCCTTGGCATTCCACTCCAGACCCCCTGGTCCACACAACAAATGACCAGGTTTTTGACCAACAGCAACAATTGAAGGAGGGGGAGGAGTCGGCAAGGCTCCCAGTGTGCGCGACGTAGGCCGACAACCGGGTCCGCCACCGCACCCCCAAAATTTTGGCATTTGTTATGGTGCGCAATCCGGTAACGCCTGCCAGGATCCGATATGGCCCCCGTGTTGATCCACCGCGTCTACCACGTGACCCGTTTTTTGGGCGGGGGAGTATGCGCACAGCGGCTTAAACGTAAGCACGTCTGATTTGGCCTTGAGGATTACTAACCAGTCGGAAAGCTGTGGGCGGGCATAAACCAGCCCGCCACTGGTGTGCATGTGTAGGCACTCGCGAGAGACTCAGCGTCGCAGCAGGCACCCGGAGTATGGGACCACTAAAAAAAACGGAATGCGAGGGGACCCTGACGAGGTTAGGTATTGCAGTTGTCTGATGTTTCAGATAGCAGTATCTGCCATCCATCGTCCGTCACTGATGTATCATCATCATCATCATCATCATCATCATCATCATCATCATCATCATCATCATCATCATCATCATCATCATCATCATCATCATCATCATCATCATCATCATCATCATCATCATCATCATCATCATCATCATCATCATC